AAAAAAAAAAAAAAAAAAAAGAATAATAATAAGAATGACAGAAGCCCTTCCTACTTTGCGTGAAATGTTGAGACTCTATCGCATAAATCCGTTTTTTTTACTCAGCGAGGAAATTCATGGGGCTCTCATGTTTTGGGAGAGGGAAACTACTCAGGTAAATAATGAAAAACGAAGAGTCATTGGATGGTTTTTTCTTCCGACATTATTATTACTGTTATCGTCAATATTTAGGGGCGTATTAGGGGAGGGGAGCTACTTGTAATGACCGGAGAGGGTACACATGTGACCAATAAATATCATAATGACGAACATATTTTCTTTCATTCGGGAAAGATGGTTTTTTGATAATTTTCGATTTCGATTTTTTTAGATTTTTCTTTAAAGAGGAGATGTTTAGGATAACTCCGGAAATGAGAAAGTGAGGGAGATGATCTCGACCTTATGTTGAATGCAAACAATCTCTTGAGAATGGTGGAAACTTCTCATTCTCCCGATTTTGAGTTATTGACCATTGAGAGTAATCCATTTAGTCCCGGGCTTCCTTTCATAAAGGTCCTCATACCCAGGGCCATAATTCAACGAGGTACAGGGTGAATTTAATCGTATTTAATCCCGGAGCATAAGTCATTGCGGCGATTATTTCGGCCTATGAATGGAGCAGATTCCACAATTATTTTTTTGAGTAATCGTTGGATAATTGATTTTTCAAGAAAACATCTCTCGAGAGGAATTTTTTATGTGTCACACGTGTGTCATTTGGGGCTTTAGTTTGCATAATGAGAGAGAATGGCATTAAATTTTAGCGAATATTGGCCCAACGTTGGCAGCCGACATTGCTCCAACTTTGGCAGCCAATATTGCGCCAACGTTAAATTTTTTTTACCTCTTTTGTATTATAACAATCCAAATCGACATTTGGTGATGAAAATGTTGTACCCGAAATTCAGATTCCAAAATGGACTATCAGAAGTGAAGGGTCACGAGGGCATATGCGTTCAAATGGAAAAAAAAAAGAAATTTAGAGTGTTTGTACCTCGCTAGGAGCCAGCAAAAATGGGAAAATAGAAAACGTTTAGAACGAAAATTTTTCACGCGAAATCCGCCCATTAGACGCTAAGAAAAACCTATAAAGAGAGCCTCCCAAAATTGCCTTTCCTCACGATGGAAAAATTACATAAATGGTAAGTGGCCTCGAAATTGTTGGGAAAAAGCTGGGAATTCTCCCTCCCAGAAGCGAAAATCATGAATTCTCATCTCTCACAGTACAAAAGCTCCCTTCATTTTTTGTTAAACGTAAGTCTTTTGGCGCATTCACGCGAGAATGAAATCACTTTTTTTTTATGATGCATTCCGAAAAAGACTGACGCTTTGATTTTTTTTCATATGCGATAACGTGACAACAATAAAAGGGAATGTTCGAATGGGCCCTGAAAGCAGTTGAAGCGTTACGGAGATAAGTTGAAACAGTGTCTTCTGTGTTGAGGCACCCCCGGTTAAACTTTCGAGGGAGTTATGAGGGGAATGGTATTTCCTCCCTCAGTGTTTCATGCTCTTATGATTGCGGGGAGGCCATTGAGGGACCGTCTACTACCTTATATTTTCATCCCTCGAGAGGGATATTGTATTCTGTCGGGGTGCCGTGGGTTTTTTTTTCGATTTTTTTTTTTATGAATGCCAGGGTATTATTTATAAAGGAGCATTCAGGCACGGACATTGATTTGAATTAATGTCTGGGGATTTTTGAGATTCTTTTCTTTCAATCGTAATTGCAAGGAGAGAAATATCGGAGTGGGGCGTGATGTGATTTCTCGTTTCGCGAATTGAAGGATTGAGGTATTTTTATTGATTGTTTGGAGGGATTGGCGGGTGTGATAAATTTGTTAAAATCGTGATTTATTTCCGTCGATGAGTGATGATTATTTCGTGTGTGGAAATGCTAATATTTCGGGGGAATGCAAAATTGGGGGATGAAGGTAAAAGGACAATGGGATAAAATGGAAATGGCTTCGATGAAATTTCACGGATTTTCGTCAGTGAAAATTCATCATTTGACGAGAAAATCAATGGAAACTGCAAAGTATCTGTAAAATTTCGATTCCTTTACAAACCAAGAATTCTCTTTCTCTATCGTTTACGGTAAAGCGGAATAAAAAGGATAGAAAAATGTTTTTTATGCAATTTCTCCTCCTTTCAGTCTCGAACTACTCCACAAAACCCTAAACTAAATTACATTCAAGCTAAATTCATTTATCTCCCTCCACCGCTTCATTATTGAACTTCCATTATTGAATTCAATCAAATTATTATCGGATATTGAACCTTCAAATTGGGACATTTTATTGCACGAAAAACCTGTAATAAAATAATAGTCTAGGATTCCGGAATTCATGGGACAATTCGTTTACTGGAAATTCTGAACTGAAGCATTTGTAAATTCAATTCAATCTCCACAATTTCAAGATTCCGCGAAAAAAAAAATTTCTCCGGAATAAACTTTTCCCTTCGGCTATTGGACACGATTTCATGATTGAGATGGGATGAAATTGAGTTGTTTGCGTGAGAGGAAGAAAATCACTGAATGTAAACATAGCATGCGGAGATCAAGGAAGTCTTCCGATTCCGTTTGATACTGAAGAGTCTCCCCTGCTCCATTAGCCCCTAACGTACTATGATAAATAGATTCTCCCGGTGAGATTGGAGCCAGCTCGGCTCTTCAAGCGGCAAAAAACGGATTTATCCGACAAAAATAAATTCTCGAATGAAGAAAAACAAATTTTTTTTTATTGAGAATTTTTTTTAATTCAAAACTTTTCATCATTATTAAGTTTTGATTGCAAATTTAAATAAGTTGAGGAATTCTTGTCTTCCGCTTCCCAAAAGTTTTAAATTCCATTGAATTTTCTACTGAAGTTTTCGGTAAAAGTCTTCGTAATTTCTAGCAAATAATATTTCCACTACAATTTCAAGTAATTTTATCATTGAAAATTTAGAATTTTATACAAAAAATCGGAGAACTGTAAATTTCAGTTTAATTATTCCGGGAAAATGAATGCAAAGTCCTGAAAAATCCTGGAATTCCAAGAATTTTAATGGAATTGCCAGAAAATTGAAGGGAATTTAACAGCGAAAATTCATTTTCAGTCGGAAATTCATGAAAATTGTAGAATTTCCGTCTTCCTGCCGCTAAAAAAATAGAACTCCATGAAATTCCTTGAAATTTCGTTGAAGCCAGTTCCATTTTATCCCATTGTCCATTTTACCCCGTTGTCCCCCAATTTTCCATTCCCCTGAAATATGAGAAATTCCCTATTTTCAATTTCATTAAATGTCCAATAAAATTTCTAATACAATTTCTTGAAAATTATCACGAAACATCAAATCCACTGGAATTTCAGTTACAAATGGACAAATCCATCCCTCAGAACTCTTCACATCCCGAAATTAATTTCTGCAGTACCTCCGCAACAATGAGAGCGAAACGAGGCATTTTAAAATAAACCTGTACTAAATTTTCCTTCAATCCCATCGAGTCCTCCACGAAAAAGAGACATTCGCAATTTGGGGTGAATTTTTGTCCTCTCGAATGGCCCGGTGATTCCCCCGGAATTTCATTCCTTTCCAATTCCCGGCGAGATAAATCGCCAGAATGAGTAATCTCATGCACCCAGAAAGAAGGGCCAGGAATTTTAATAAAACGTGATATGAATCCCCGCGGCTTCACGAAGGGTCAGTGTGAATTTTCCTCGTTCGTTTGTACCGTACAATTATTAGGTATTTTCAACATTGAAAAACAGCAATTACGGGCACGTGGTGTGCACGTTAGTCCCCCCCCCCCCCCCCCCC